TACTAGTTATCAGACGCTTCCTTCAGCCAAGAGTATCTTCATTCTCCAGCAGGTTACAACCTTAGAATGAGCGGCATCAGGAAGAGACACATAAGGACCTACCCAAGATATCGATCTGGTGGGGCGGATGGCTGCAGTTGTGCGTTGAACAGCCACACGTCGGTGCTTGATGCTCCGGCCCTCGGCGCTTGCCAGATTGCATCGACGCCTGAACAAGCCACGGAGACGATGGCTTGACCAAGAGGAAAGAGTATCCGTCAAGATAATGGAAGAGTTCCGGTTTCAGACCTCTTCAACGAAGAGGCATCAGAATACAACTTAAGTAGGAAAAAAGTGTGTAACATATATAGACATGCAAAGAGGAACACACACATACATGGCTTAGAAGGACTTGCTGTAGTCCTTGCAGACATCCTTAGCAAGACATACTAGGATGGATCACCCTAGGTCTTATAACCGTGCCCCCGTATGTTTCTCTGGTCCTCAAAAACAACATCTGGTGTAGTGTTGTTCTCCAAGTTTTGTGCAAACATTCATTCATGTCACTATGACTCCATGCATAGGATTTTATTTTTCCACCCTAGGCCCTAGCTGACTGATCTACAAATGTGATGACAAGAATAAGATAAACATTGTCGGGTTTTTCTTCTATATCAGTGAAATATATATGTAGGCACACTCTCATGCCCGTTCGTCCAACAAAGGATAAAACCAACAAGCCAGGTCATCTAGTAGTCGAGCTGATCCGGACGGCCTGATCTGTCAAACCAAACATGTTGCTAAAGTTTGATCAAATTACAACTCACTGAAAAATGACATGCCACTGAGGATTCGCCACATGTCATCTTTAACAAATGGCAAGCCACGAAGAATATGCACATTTTTTAACCAAAAAAAAATGCCAGATGCTACTTTGGTTTTGTAGATTAGTTACATCTCGAGTTCTATGGACATAGTAGTGAAGGTTTTGCAGCAAAGCATGCAAATGATGCGAAGAGGAGACGGAGGCAGAACGAAGAACACAAAAGAAACTCAGAATGGTGGTATTTGTTTGTTTTCTACACCCTTCGATTTGTTCCAAACTATAAAATGTTTTAGTTTGTCCTAAGTCAAACACTAATAACATTAACCATATTTATAGATAAATTATTAATATCTATAATAGTACCAAATAAATAACTTATGAAAACATATTTCACGATAGATTTAATTATACTAGCTTTATGTCATAGACATTGGTATATATATTTTTGTATAAATTTGATCACAGTAGAGAAGTTTTGGCTTAGGATAGAACTAAAATATTTTGCAATTTGGAACAAAGGGAGAGTATTCTTAGTTAATCAGATCTAGCATTAGAAGTACGAAACCACAGAATTTTACCAAAATTTTGTCAAAGTTACTTTCACGAGATTTTTATCCAGGCCTTGGTGGCCGGCAAAACAGTTGGCTAACTGCTAGAAAAACATTAACACTGGCAGCGGAAATCTTCTCGCCCGATGCTGAACTAGCTATAACATGGTGAGTGCGGCCATTTTGTTTGGCTGATGGTTTTTGCGGTTGATAAGCCGGTTGATGCTGTTTTGTTGTAAGATGAAAACACTGTATCATTGACAGATTGAAAGTTGTTGGCCAGGCAGACCCTGCTAATAAATGAACTAATTTTGCCATGTGCTACACCATGACTCCATAGATCTAACAAAAAATTATTAGGCCTTCTGCACCGCTACACTTCTCTCCCCTATTTATATACATGCATATCGTTGCCTCCCACGAGCTCGACCAATCTGTCTATTTTTTCATCTCATGTTGAGATAGACTTGCCGTTTCCCAAGAGTTGAGTCTTGTACCGTTTCGTGAGGAAAGCAAGTGTGTAGAATTGCAGATGGATTGATGGTTAGTCTGGTGGCCTAGTCACTGACATCAGCCGGCTTCTTTAAGTCTTTGCAGTTTTGGGAGCTTAATTTCTATTGGTGCATCCACACGATGTGGCCTAGTCACTGCTTTCGAATGGGAGACATTAGGACACCAGACATGAAGATTCGAAAGAAACCATCGACGAAGAATGCCAAACACACGAGCTAGAGACCGCACCAAGGTTCAACCTTACTGGCCGATTGTAACTGAACCCCTTATACAGGAACTCTGTCTGACATCCCGTTACAGGCCATGCGTCCTCAATTAGACACACGGCCAGTGGAGGATCAGCCCAGAGAAATTTAATGTTAGGGATTCCCAAGCCAACAAAGACTTGCGTGACGAGCTGGTTCCCTCGACGCCGCAGTGGCGCTTCTTACCGGGCGCTCAGAATTGAAGTCGCGCAAGCGCACCAGCAGCCGGCCATCAGGTTTGCTATATGTGGACCGAATTGGGCTGTAGCTTCTGCATTGCTCGGTTGCTGGTTGACCCATCAGCTTGTTGGACTAATAAAGAAGAAAAAACTTCCCAATTACAAGTACTCCCTCCATACTCATAAAACATGTCGTTTAGGACATGATTGTGCTTACCAAGAAATGATTAATTAGGGGGTATTTTTCCCTATGTGCCCCTATTAAATAGGGTTGCGGGTGCATTCCATACGAGAAAGAACTATAACTCAAACGGCTAGCATAGTGCGTCGTGAGCCCTGAGGACCGGGTTCGATTCCTGGCAGGCGCATATTTTTTTTGCTAGTGCCCTGATTTTGCATGGCACTGTTTTGTTTCGGCTGAACGTGGCTGAGCGCGTTTCTGCGCGATTTTGGCCTGGCGCGCGTGAAAGATGCATGTCGCTGTGCACTGGCGCTCGTTTGTTTCGTTCGTTTTTTCGTTTGAGTTCACTGGCGCTATTTTCTTTTCACTGCGCGCGTGCTCAACAGGCCTAACGCTTGGAGTGCTTCGTCTATTTAAATGCCTCGTACCTAGCTTCCTGTATCTACTACCTTGCCTCCTTGCTTGCTTGCTTAAACTACCGTGCTTGCTTGTTCTTAGCCATGTTCATCTACGACATGGCTTAGTTTTTTTTTTCTTCTTCCACTTCTCCGTACGGCGCAATGGGTGATCCGTTCCCTGTCTTTGATCTGAATGTTCGTATAGAACAAGATGACGACGACAGCCTTCCCTTCAATCTCAACGAGCCAATATTGGAGGATCACAACAACGGTATTGTGTCCATTGTTACTCAGTTTGCTCTTTCCATTTCTGATATTCATAGCAGCCGCTTGCAAATGTCGTTTCCTTTCTCAGTTTGTTGTTTCCTTTTTCAACAGGAATTGATTTGAACTTGCCACTTGATGAATTTGGTGATGTTGACTTCGATTATGTACAAAACCTCTCAGGTAAGCCATGGCTATTATTTGACGTGTATTTGATTTGATCTTGTCACTTGATGCAATTAGATTTTTTTATTGGTAAGCATGGCAATTATTTTGAATGTGCCATTAGATAAACCTGCATGCCGTATCTACTACTCCGTGGCTTGTTTAATTTCTTTTAACAGAACAGGTCGTGGCTAACAAGTGATTATTTTTTTAATAGAACATGTTGCTCTCGCTGAAGCAAACCATCAAAGAAAAGACATGACAGAAGACATCAGAAAACAAAATTATCAATCATTGTTGGCTAGAAGCAAGAATGGGAAACTAGGCAAGAAAGATACAACAATCGTTGCTGATCAGTTTGGAGTGCACATTCGGACAGTTCAACGCTTATGGAAGCAAGGTAAAATCCAACTTGCAAATAACATTCCGGTTGTGGTTGCTAGTCGAAAGAAGGGTAGAAGTGGTCGTAAGGCAGTCCCTCTAGATTTGGAACGATTGCGCAACATTCCTCTCAAGCAAAGAATGACCATAGAAGATGTGTCTAGTAAACTTGATATTAGCAAAGCTAGGATACAAAGATATTTGAAAAAAGGTTTGCTTAGGCGCCACTCTAGTAGCATCAAACCATACCTCACAGATGCTAACAAGAAGACTAGGTTGAAGTGGTGTGTTGATATGATTGAGCAAGGTTTGGTTGATGATCCAAAATTTAAGGATTTGTTTGACTTTGTGTTCATTGATGAAAAATGGTTCTACCTCTCTCAAAAATCTGAAAAAATATTATTTGCTGCTCGAGGAAGATGACCCACATCGCACTTGTAAGAACAAGAACTACATCCCTAGGCTCATGTTCTTGTGTGTATATGCTCGGCCAAGGTTTAGGAATGGAGAATGTGTTTTTGATGGAAAAATAAGTTGTTTTCCACTTGTCACTTATGAACAAGCTATTAGAAGAAGTCACAATCGTATTCGTGGAGGAGAAGTAATCAAGCCAATTACATCAATCACAAGGGATGTGATCAGAGATTTCACGGTAAATAGAGTGTTCCCTGCAATTCGAGCCAAGTGGCCAAGAGAATATGTGAACAAGTCAATTTTCATACAACAAGATAATGCACCTTCTCATTTAAAAGTGGATGATCCTATTTTTTGTGAGGCTGCTAAGCAAGATGGGTTTGACATTCGGCTAATTTGTCAACCACCCAATTCTCTGGATTTTAACATTCTAGATTTGGGTTTTTTTAGAGCTATTCAAGCTATTCAATACAAGAAGGATGCAAAAACAATTAAAGATCTTGTTCCAGCCGTGCAACACGTAAATGATCAATTGTTTCATACAACAAGATAATGCACTTGTTTCATTGTTTCTTCAATAACTAATTGATTGATTTCTTCATCACATTTTTATAGGCATTCTTAGAGTACTCTCCATGGAAAGCAAATAGGATTTTTGTAACACTACAAAGTGTTTTGAAAGAAGCCATGAAGGTCAAAGGATGCAACAAGTTGAAGATTCCTCACATGCAAAAACAAAAACTTGAGAGAGAAGATAGGCTGCCATTGCGAATCTCCTGTGAACCTTCCTTACTAGCTGAAGCCATTAGTAGGCTCCCTGCAAATTAGAAGATGGAAATTAGCTTATGGAAATTAGAAGATGCAAATTACGGATCCTACTATGTATCTTAGGTTAAATGCATGTACTTTACTGATCTTGCTTTGCTTCATCTTCTTTGTTGGCCTGGGGACTGATCTTTGTTTGCTTCGTCCTCTCATCGTGCTCCTCCAACTTCTTTACAATTTCCTCGGGCAGAATGATGGTGTTAGCATGCATTTCTAGTTTTTCCACATCAGGAATGAAGAACTCACAATCAAACTTGTCCACGCCATAGAGGAACCTTGCTGGCACATCGTAGTCTTCATGCAAAAGGCCACAACGGGCACACCTGCGAGCGTTGCGGCGAGCTTGGAAGCAGGCTTCTCCGAAGACGCCGCCAGCGTGGAACGTGACGCAGCGAGGATACTGTACCTCCTCGACGGAGTCCGGCACCTCCTTGACGGAGTCCAACGGCTCCACGTTGTCCAGCGCGACGGAGTCCGGCACCTCAACGACGGAGTCCAGATCAGGCGCGACAGGGTCCGGCAACTCCTGCGGCGTCATCTCGATGTTGTCCAGCGCGACGGAGTCCGGCACCTCAACGACGGAGTCCAGATCAGGCGCGACGGAGTCCGGCAACTCCCGCGGCGTCATCTCGACGTTGTCCAGCTGCAATTCGAGCGAGCGTGGACGCGAGCGATCCATGCCGTGAGCGTACGGCGAGCATGCAGGCGACCGTGCGGCGAGAGTGCGGCGACCGTGCAGGCGAGCGATCCATCCATGGCGGCGAGGAACGGCAGCGACGCTGTACTGCGACGATGAAGGGAGTGCCACGCTGCCGTGCGGCAAGAATGGCAGTGCGACGCAATAATGGGTTGCTAGTGAATGGTCGATGAAGGAAACGAAGCGGCAAACACGATTAATGCTCGGCGGCGCGCGTGATTAGCGAAGGAAGGCAGCCGAAAGGATTCCAGGGGCAAACGCGACCACGTACGGGGTCACGCAGCCACAGCGACATGTTTTGCGAAAACGCAGTAGAGGCTCACGACGACATGTTTTATGAGTATGGAGGGAGTATGATATATACTGTCTTTCTTTCCCAAATGTTGGGTACTCTACCCAAGAATCATGTTGCCTCCGTCCGCACACGCGGCCCAGTCCTGAGCTGACATTAGGATTATCTCTGTGCATGTACTCTTATTTCCTTTGCTGAGTATTTTAATTTGTATACTCACCCTTGTTGTTGGTTATAGAGGAGGATCCATATTCCATCGCAAGTAAAGACTACAACTAGATTGTGGAGGTCGTGTCATGCATCTAATAACCTGCATGTAGCCTTGGATCCGCAATGTGTATTGTGATATTGTCGAGTGTTTTTATTGACCATGTGGTTCATTTGTACCTTTGGTATTTTATTTGACTTCTTTTTGGTATTGGACCTATGTTAGTCGTCTTATCCATATGTATGATCTTAATAAGATTATCTAATGAATAAGTGTGTATTAGCCTCATAAGACTAGTATTTGTACCACATTTAACTTCTCAAATAACCAAGCGCTTTAAAAATTAAACTAAGTTTTTTGTTAATCTTGTTGATTTGTTCACGAAGGCTTTTACCATACTTCACATTTCATAAATATGTTGAGAGAATTAGGATAAAAAAAAGACTTACGGCCCTTTTGGGTCTTCTGAATTAGAATATTTTTCTGGCATCTTTGAGCAGGGATGCTCGATAGTGCTCAGGTTATCGCTTTGGACAACGAACCGGACAACAAGCGAGTAAATAGTACAGTAAAATAATGGAACTGACTTTTCCAAAAAAAAAAAATAGGCCATGGATCTTACCTAGATGTTGTGGGTTTCAATAGAATTAATAGGAATTGTCGCTTCTAGTTCCAAACATACCAAAATTGTCTGCCCAAACAAATAGGATTCTAATTCAATTCTAGAGATCTAAACGGGCCATTAGAGATTTTGGGTTTCTCATATAAAGTATTTAATGTGGCAATATCAACACAAAAGTATATGTTATACCATCTGCTTTTCCTCGCAGGGGTTTTAATTAGAAGATGGCATTAAGGACATATTTGGTTTTACATAGCCAATGACAATTTTCTTTAGACTATGACTAAGTTTATTACATTCCCTCAAGGGTGTAAATGGATCTATGATAGTTGATTATCATGATGTTTCTCCTTTATTTTTCCCATTGGACCTAGTATATACCAACGAATTCCTTAGTTTCTCCCACAGGGTTTTCAAGGAATAACAATGGCAGTGATCAACAGATGAACAGGGGAGTTTTTAGAAGTTACTTGATCGAACAGGAGTGTTGAAATTATTTTTATGTGATCAATTAAGGGGTTAATCATGTAATTAGCTGTTGCTAATGATAGTTTGCGTCGTCACACGCATATGTGTAAATACTCACTACTTCCTACTATTCATTTTCTACTCGCTACTTTCTACTCGCATCACTAAATGAATAAGCTTTTGCCATATGCTACACCATGACTCCATAAACCTGCACCCTTACACTTGTATGCCCTATATATTTACATACAATCGTTGCTTGATTGCCTCCCGCGTGAGCTACCACTATTAGAGAACAGATCTTTCATCCGATGCTAAAATGGACTCTAGTCCCGACATTTTTTGCGCCCGGGACTAAAGGTGGACCTTTACTCCCGGTTGGAGCCACCAACCGGGACTAAAAGTCCTCAACCTTTAGTCCCGGTTGGTAATAGTCCCGGTTGGTAACACCAACCCGGACTAAAGGACCCTTTAGTCCCGGTTGGTAACACCAACCGGGACTAAAGGTCCCCCGATGGGTTAGTTCAAAAGGGAAGCATCCCATCCATTATTAGACGTGTTGTATAGGTGAGGTGGTAAGCTACGCGCGAGGCAATGCATGGGGTCTTGGGTTCGAATCTCACAGAACGCAGCGGTGGGAGACATTATTTTTTTTAAAGCTGGGAGGACCTTTAGTCCCGGTTGGTGTTAGGTCCCCCTTTAGTCCCGGTTCCTGACCCGGGACTAAAGGACTCCCCTTTAGTCCCGGATGCTTACTCCCGGGTGGGGAACCGGGACTAGAGGGGGTTCCCCACCGAGAGTAAAGTTCTGTTCTCTACCAGTGTACACTAATCTCTCAAATTGTTCATCTCACGTTACTTCTAGCCTCAGTGGTGCCGTTTCATGAGGGGAAGTTACATGTAGATGGATTAATGGTTAGTATGGTACCCTACTACTCAATGACATTTTGTATATATTTTTCACTCCATGACGTTTCAGTCTATCCCTACTAATCCCCCTCAACCCATATGGATTGGGATGTATTGAAGTGTTGGTGCATCCAAATAATTAAGCCGGCAATCTTTCATCATGCTTTCGAATGGTAGACACTGGGAAACCAAATATCACAATTCTGCAAGACCAAGGGGATTGTTTCACACCTTACGAAGGTGAAAGTTTTTCAGTGGTCATTCTATCATCAATTGTAGCTACTGCTGATCGATGGAACCTTGCAAGTTGCAACGGTGGTGACTTGTGCTTTTGTGTGCTTATTTGGATATGCGGGGAGCAGAGGCATCGTTTTCCTATCATTTTTGCTTGTGTAAATAGAGACATACAAAACACATGTTACATATATCAATCTTATGTACAATTTAAATTAAATTCAATAAGATCCATTTTGATCATGATAAATTTTATAAATTACACTAGTCATGGCAGCGCATGAAAACTGTGCTATAAAAATAAAAACAAATTGTTTGGTCTCAAAATAACTAATATGCAAAATTTAATTTCATCATATTATATTGAGAAATAAATATTTACAACTTACAGTTCAACATTATTCTATTTGTTATAGAAAAGGCCAGGAAGAAGTTACTACAATGAAACGATTAGAGCACTCCATATGTCGGAAATAGTAGCAAACAACATTATCCTTGGATACCTTTTGTTTAATTAATTTTTTAGACAAGCATATTGTTGTATTTCTGTGGTTTCATAGATCGTCTCATATAGTATTTTTTATGATGTGGAGGAAAGAGAGGGAGGTGAGAGAAATGCTATGTTTCATGAAATTAAACAACTATCTCATAAGGAAAAGGTTCTACACTATTGCATGAGTTGATGCCATATATAAGACAACTTTTCATACATGTTGTCTATTATATCGGCTAAAGATTATGTGGCACTATATAAGACGACAACATCAATATACTTGTCCTTAGTTGTACCTCACGTTCTGTTTGATTCACACATGTAGAGTTCCTCGTTGTGTACTACTATTTATATAGCTCTATCTCTTGTTAGACTTTATAGGCTTCCTCTATCTCATTTTTTTTATCATTTCATTCCATCAGTATCTTTTGTAAGTACACATGCACACATGCCAAGAGGAAGGCATACATAATGGGTAGCTAGAAGGATTAGCTGTAGTTGCTGCACATACTAGTTATCTAGACATGCTTTGCTTGCTTCTGCCGATGGTATTTTCGTTCTCCAGCGCGTTTATTACATTATGTGCTTTACTGCCTTAATTAGAATGAGTGGCACCAGGAAGAGACACCTAAGGGTCTCTACAAGGCATCGATACGTCTGTGCATGGGTGGGAGCGATTACGTGTTAAACAGCCACATGGAGGAACAATAGATCGTCCAACCCACGGTGCTTATTGCCAAATGGAAACAATGCGCGCTTGAGCAAGCCACGAAGAGGGATGGCTTTGACAACGTGGAATTGAGGATAAAGGATTCATCATAGGAACTCTTTGACAAACCATGGAATCGATGCACATTTCAACAAAACATGGCTAGAAGGAACACAAGCATATACATGGCTAGAAGGACTAGCTGATGCACACACGGTGTAGTGTTGTGCGCCAAGTTTTGCGCAAGCATTCATTCATGCCACCATGAGACTTTTGTTGTTCATGATTTGCTGGGAGTACTATTGTCATATTTACTTATATCATTAGAAGCTCCAAGGTCATTGTTAATGCCAAGCTTGTTGAACTGAGGCAAAGTTATCTCTGTTTCCTTCTATTCACTACTAGAGAACAGACTTTAGAACGATGTCCCAATTTGGCTTTAGCCTCGGCATTTTTTGCCGCTGGGACTAAAGGACCCTTTAGTCCCGGTTCGTAATACCAACCGGGACGAAAGGTCCCTGCCCAACGGTCGTCCACGTGGCAGGGATCTTTAGTCTCGGCTGGTATTACCAACCAGGACTAAAGGTAACCTTTAGTCCCGGCTGGTACCAGCCGGGACTAAAGGTTTTAGTCCCGCTTTGGGTGATACCCCGGGAATAAATATTAATCTTTAGTCCCGGTTTGGCCACCTAACCGGGACTAATTATGCCGGCCTATACACTCATTTCTTTCTCCCCGAGCCCGAGCCATTCCATTCAAACTCACTGCCTCTGTTCTTCAGCTTGCTGTTGTTCTTGCTCTCTCCCCCTCCATTGGTGTTGCTCTTCGATTTTGGAGGTAACAAACTTAATCCTCTTATGTTTTATCAGTAGCTTATCTCATTTTGCGATGTAGATGCATGTGTAACTTTATATGTTGGACTTTATTATGATTTTGCGATGATGATTTGCATATATGTTTGGATAAACAAAAGTTAAATTAGTTCATCAAAATCACGCCTCGCTCGTCCTCGCTGTAACACGCGCCATCCTCGTCCCCGGCGGCTTAC